GGTACGGCCCCCCGCCGTCAGAAAGGTGCTCGCGAGGAGACGCCTCGATCATGTTAAACATTTGATCAAACAAGCCCTAAAAAAACGAAGGAAGGGCACCCCCATCACGAAGACGACGCAGACCCAGACGCGGTGAAAGATCAGCGCCCCGAGAAGTATCAACACGTCCACGAAGATCCGCACCTCGCGCACGCACCGACATATCCGCGCAAGCACGAGCATCATCAAGTAGAGGCACCAACTCTTCCGCAAACGTGTTGAATACAAACGTGGGGAAGGAGGGCACCGCAGGCAAGCTGTCGATGAGCACCTGGATCCTTGACTTCGTCGGTCAGGACGGGAAACCCAGGGGTCTCCACCATCTTGCAAAGGGTCAGGCCCACGGCGCGAATAGCGACGACGATGCAGACCGTCATCCTCAGCATCATCCCCACGAAGATCATGCCCATCAGGTCCCCATCCACCCGCATGTGGAGAGGGGGCACGTACCTCACCATCCAGTCGAGCGAGCCGTAGACATAGAATGGAACATCCTGCTCCGCAATGGCGGCGACCACGATGCACGGCTGAGTGGTTCGAAGCTCTGCGATCATGTGGTCCAGCTGGTGCAGCGGAACCAAGCCCACGATCGCCAGCATCGGTGGCCTGGCATGGTCGAGCACGAATCGCCACTTGGCGCGACCCAGCGTGGCGCCGTCGGAGATGGAGATGCGCAGAGGATAGCCCGCAACGACCTGCAGCCGAAGCCAGTGCAGCCTTCCCGCCACAACCAGAGGGGGAGCGCAAGCGCGACCGCGAAGACGCAGATGCAATAAGGTGCCTGCACCGCTTTGGCTAACGATAATCGTACTAGTACGAACGATAGTGGAATGCTAACACGAAGAAGAATACACATACTAACAATAGTGATCCTAAACATAATCATAAACAAGGTAAAACAAGGATATGGTGATAGTAAAAACCAACAAATAATACATAGCATAACTATGAAGAACAATGGTAATAAAATTCGTGGCAATGACAAATGTGAATGACACATCTACTAATTAAACTGGTATAACAGTCAGCATATAGACAGGATGTTAATGCTGATGATGATGATGATGATGATGATGATGATGATGATGATGGTGGTGATGGTGATGGTGGTGAGGATGGGGATGGTAATGGTGGAGATGATCGTTATGGTGTTGGTGGTGGCGATGATGGTGATGAAGATGATGAAGATGATGATGATGATGATGATGATGATGATGCTGATGCTGATGCTGATACTGATGCTGAGTGTTAGTATGGCAATGACAATGATGATGAGGAGGATGAGGAAAAAGATGGTGGTGCTGATGATGATGATAATGATGATGCTGACGATGATGGTGATGATGGCGGTGGTGGTGGTGGTGATGATGATGATGATGATGATGATGATGATGGTGATGGTGATGGTGATGGTGATGGTGATGGTGATGGTGATGGTGATGGTGATGGTGATGGTGGTGGTGATGGTGGTGATGATGGTGAGGAGGATGAGGACAAGGATGGTGAGGATGATGAAGGTGATGATGATTACTATGATGATGCTGATGATGCTGATGATGCTGATGATGATGATGATGATGATGATGATGATGATGATGGTGATGGTGACGATGCTGACGCTGATGATGATAGCGATGAGGGCATGCGGGGAGCGGATGCACGGATGGGACGAGGGGGGAGGGAGGAGGGGGCAGCGGGAGGTGGGAGGTCAGACGCGGGGCGCTGTCCCTTCAAAACGGGGACACAACACCGCTGTCCCTTCAAAACGAGGAAAACGCAGATGGGGTGCGCAACGCTCTCAGCACGTCGTCGGGGGAGAGAAGGGAATAGTTGTCATATTCTGTACCTGTGAAGGGGGGAAGGAAGGAGAAGCCAAGGGGGGAAAATGAGGAGCGGAATGGGGACGTCCCTCCCCCCACCCTCCTCCACTGCATGTTTCCCCCACCACCTCCCTGCCGCTCCCACTCACCATACCCCATCCCTCTCCTACCTCCTCTTCCTGCTCCTCCTCCTCCTCCTCCTCCTCCTCCTCCTCCGCCTCGTCGCTAGCTGAAAGTAAATGGAGAGCCGCCGCTCGCCTTGGCCTACGTCGCCTCAGCCTCCTCGAGGAACCTTGTGATCCCCTATGCTCCCCCCAGGCCGCCAGCCATTGCCCCCGCCCTGACCCCGTTTTCCTGGCCCCGCATTGTGGAACCTCCAACGCCGAGGCTCCGTGGAACTCGAGCTCGAGTTATCTGGGGACGTGGGGTCAGAACTATCCAACCCTCGCTTGCCGTCGCGCGCGCACACAAGGGTTGTGCGCACAAGGCGGTGGGGCGGTGAGGGGCAGGCGAGGGGGGTTGGTGGCCTTCGAAAAACATGATTAGATTCTAGGAGGGCAGGAAGGGTGGCCTTCTTACAAGGTGCCAGGAAGTTCTGGAGGAAGCGTCTCGGGAGGCCGTGAAAGAGACGTTTCTAAGAGAACGAAACGGCACTGTCTTCTAAGACGGCACTTCGCCTTCTCAGAATACAAAACCGCCGCCTCGTGGGCCACCCAGCCTTGTGCTGCGGTGCGAAACCCAAGAACCATGGCACTGAGGGCGGTCCTCTCGGGGGCAGGCTTATGGATCTTCAACTACACTTCCAGGTTCAACATGCGTGGTGAGGATATACATTAGTAATGTATTACTAATAATAATAATAATTAATATAAGGGAACATTAATGGAAGGAAGGGGCAGCATAATCATTAATACTAATAATAATAATAATAATAATAATAATAATAACAATAATAATAATAATAATCATAACAATAGTAATAACAACAACATCAACAACAACAACAATAATAATGATAATACTAATATTACGAATAACAATAACAATATTAATATTAATGGTAATAACAATAATAATAAACACTCATAAATAATAATATCAAAAAGAAAGGCTCAGGCCCAGGCCCCGCCTCTGCGCGCCGCCAACAGGCAAACCACATTTGAGATCCCTACCCTGCAGGTCGGAATCCTGAAAATCGGGCCGGGGCTGTGAAGTTGGAGGACTCCTGCAGCCGGTTGAACCCCAGCGGGGGCGTCCGACACCCCCAGCGCCGATCGAAGCCGAAGGGGCAGGGTTCGAAAGTGAGCGACGAAGAGGGAGGGGTCTTGCGCGAGATGACGCAGCGACCTTACGCGGTGGCTGACGCGGGCCGCCAACGCGGCACGCCACACTGGCGACGAGGGCGCTTACGCGCGAGCTCACGCGGGCAGCTTACGCGCCATGGTCGGTGAAGACGGCCCCGTTGTTCTGGGTCGCCCAAGTGGTGGTAGAGCACAGAAGCAGTGCCTGTGGGCACCGTGGGGTGTGCCCTCGCAGAACGACCGGCGAGTCCGACGAGGCTGTGACTGCACGTCGAGACGAGGCATCGCGAACTCCCTCGCCTCTTCCACCCTCGATCTTTTCCTGACGCCGCCTGGCGCTGTGGCCAGAGCCAGCTGTATGGAGCAGATGTCGTAAGCGCCCCTTTCCCACCCTTCCTTGCTTCCGACCCGAACGCGGTCGCAGATAACCAGCCTCGAGCTTATCCATTATCCCTAAGATTGACAAGCCCAAAGGCGATGACAATCTTGGGAACGCGCCATCAGAGACTGAGGGAACCCTTAAGACTGGCATCGAGATGAGATGGCGCCATCGCAGGGATAGTGATATGCTCCAGGCTGGTTAGCAGAGTCAAGCCCCCCATCACCCGACTATCAAGGACCCAGGGCTAGAGGAACAAAGAGTAGGTAGCGATGAACTTCGGAGGACCGAAAGTGTGTGTATGTGTTTATGCCACTGGTTTCGCTGGCGCGACAGCGGGGGAAGTGAGATTGAAGAGGCCTTCTCGGAAGGCGGCGGCGCTTCTCGGAAGCCCCCAGGCCTTCCGAGCCTTCTGAGCAGGCCCGCCCCTTCTCCCGGGCGACGGCCGCCCCGCCCGAGTGTCACGGACGTCACAGTGGAGCAATACAAAGCATTCTCCAAGTAAGAAGCCGTTAGGCAAGTTTAGTTTGGGAGCGAAGGGGGAGGAGGAGGGGGAGGAGGAGGAGGAGGAGGAGGAGGAGGAGGAGGAGGTAGGGGAGGGAGGAGAGGAGGAGGAGAGGAGGAGAGTGAAGGAGAGGGGAAAGGAGGAGGAGGAGGAGGTCCCCTGGGCTCGCCGCCGATGTTTGCACCTCGGAGAGCGGGAGCGCTCTTCCAGCCGCGCTCGGCGGGCCCCGCACGGCGGCGGCCCCGCACGGCGGCGCGGGCGTGGCGCGGCCGCCCTCACAGGAACGCCCAGCTGCGCCGGCGCCCGCCCCTCTCGGGGGAGTGCGGCGGCCTGTCGGCGACGCGGGGCGGCAGCGGCATCGGGGGCATGCACCCGAACCTGGAGGAGGGAAGAGCTCCCTGCAGCGAGACTGCCTCTCTCTGATTTCGGGCAACGCTCGTTACCACAGAGTGGCGGCAACAGGCCAGGTAGCGGTACTCCAAGACAAGCCGTTTCAGACCTCCCCCGTGGGAGAACCCTCCAAAACATCGTCCCCAGACCCCCCCAGGCCCGCCAAGATAGCCTGGAAGAGACCCCCCCCGAAATGAGACCCCCCTCCCTTTATTACGAAATCTGGAGTAACGCTTGGGCCCTAGTATAGGCGCGCGGCCACCCCGACCTGGAGGAGGGAAAGGCTTCCTCCGCACCCACCTGTTGGAAGAGGTGGGCACTATCAGGTTTTGATCGGAAGGTCGACCCGTGCCTCCTACATTCCTCTGGCACTGTGGCCCTCGGAAAAGTCTTTTGCCTTCTCGCGTGCATTCTCGAATCAAACCCGACTGTAGAAACATAAAATAGTATGGCGTTGAAAAGAGATTGGGCTTCCGCCCGCCCACCGAAGAGGAGGAAGCCGCTTCATGACTGAAGTAGGAAGGCGCCTACAGTAGATCGGAGTATGGGAATCCAAAGATAAACACCTACTTTCGGCGACCGATGGGTAAGCATAGACTGTAGGAGGTATGCACGGATCTCCTGGCCGGGGCCAGACCCCCACCTTCTCCCGTTTTCCCGGCGCGCGGAGTGCGCCAGGGGCGGCGCCCGAGGCGCCACCAAGGGGGGCCAGCGTCGACCCGAACAATCTGCGCGTACCTCTGGAAGTGCACGACCACGCAATTCCAGGAGGGACAATCAGGTACCGATACCGCTACTCCCTGGACCTCTCTCGGAAGGCGGTTTGACCACACCTCCAAGGAGAATCCAGCCGTGGCGACGTTGAGCGGTATCGGTCTGTTTCTCCTCCGAGCTGTCGTGTCCGTCGAAGACCTCGAATCCATCGGGTGGATGTTGGGATTCGGGTCGTAGGGCATGAGGTCGTCGGCCGCGCACGACAGCAGGTCGCCAGCCTTCGACCCACCGGCCAGCGTGTGGGCCGCCTGCGCGGCCTGCTCCAGGTCCATGCGGCTCTCGTGGAGGGCGCCCTGCAGGTCGGAGTAGAGCCTGTAGGCGTAGTAGGTGAAGGGCCCCCGAACCATGCTGATGCGGTCCCTCCCAGGGGGAACAGAAGTCGGCACAAACACAAACCGTCGGAACTCCGCGCGGATGTCTGGGCCCGGCGCTGGGCCGGGCCCCCCTCCCTCACGCGCGCCAGAGGCGCCGACAGGGGGGCCTGGCGCCAACGCGAGAAACCCGCGCGGAGCTCGCAAAGTGTATGTTCATGCAGTACTGTCTGCTTCGAAGACCTCCCCCTCTGCGCCAGCTTCGCCGCCACTTCCGCGCCCGCGCGCCGGGCCAGCTTCTCGGCTTCCTCGGCCCTCTCCTGCGCCTGGAGGAGCGCCCGCAGCTCTGACTTCGGGGCCGGGGGGCACTTCAGCAGGAAGGGCGTGAAGGCGGAGTGGCAGACGCCATGGGCAGAAGAGGAAGGGACGGCACAGGCGTGGCGTCAGTTCGGCGGCGAGCCCGGGTGGGAAGTGAGAAGGGCCGGGGGCCATCTCAGAAAGCTCAGAAGTCCCCCAGCCTTCTGAGAAGCGTTCTCAGCTTTCCCCGAAGACACAGAAACCTTCTCAGAAGGCGCGAGGGCTTCTGAGAAGTCCCGCCGCCTTCTGGAAGGCCTCCTGCATCTCGCCTGCCCCCCTCGCTCGCCGCCGCCGAGTCATGACGCCCGCGCGGATGATTTCTATGGTCGGCACTGGACTCACCCTCCTCCCGGCGCGCGAAGCGCGCCAGGGGCGGCGCCGGAGACGCCGCCAGGGAGGCTCAGCGCTGACCCAGGAGACCCGGCGCGGGGCTTCGAAATGACGCGTTTGTTGCTTTGCCCTTCGAGGGTCACGTCTGTGTCCGAGTCTGTCTTCGAGGGTGTTCAGAAACTTGAGGGCGACGAGATCTGCACATGATTGTCCACGGCCCCGGCCGGAGCACATCCTGACTACCTACCAGACCACCCCAACCCAACCCGAAGACCCGAATTTGACCCGAATTTCGGGTTGGGGGGGGTACGGATACCATGTGTTTTTTCAACGTTCCCCGAACCCCCCCACTGGAAATGGAAGGCAAATTGAGGGCTTCGGGTTGGGTTGGGGTGGTTTGGTGGGTGAGCACATCCTGGGCCCAGAAGCGGTGTGCATGCGCTCTCCTGGCTTGGTCAGGGAGGCACGCTTGGCATGCAGCCAGGACGGGCCCCGCCGGGGGCGGCGGCTGTGCCGCGACCCGCGGCGGGAGGGGGGCAATCGGAAAGACGGGGCGGGCTCACGGGGGGGAGGCGGAAGAGAGGGCAGGGGAGGGGCACGAGGGGGAAGCGGGGCGGGGGCGAGAGGGAGAGGTCAGCGCCCGGCTCCAAGAGCGCCGCCCGAGCGCCACCGGAGCCGCCCGAGCACTGGCCTGACCGATCGGCCGCGAGACGGCTGCCTCAGAGCCACGAGACAGCAGGTCGGCGCTCCGGCCTCCCAGGCATCGCCAGGGGGGACTCGACCGACCCGAGAACGCTGGCCGGACCCCGGTTTGATTTCCCGTGCAGGCCAAGAAGAAACGCCATCGGCATGAGCCGACGGAGGTCCAGGCGCGAACTACTGGGAGCGGCGCTGTGCTGGCGCGCTGAGCGTGCCAGGGACGGCCCCAAGGGCGCCGCCAGGGGTGCCCGGCGCGGATCCGAAAAATGCACGGGGACCTCCAGCAGTAAACGCGCGTGCAAATCTCCTTCTTCGGGACAAGACCATGCGCACGAGCGGTTCACAGATCCGTATCCGCGCCAGGGGGCAAGACCGTGCACAGGAGCGGCGAACATATCCGTAGCCGCGCCCTCGCGGTCTCGATTCTGGGGTGCGATTCCGCAGATTCGCGGTCGCACGGATGCGCTCCGCGCGGGGCATCCACGAGAAAGCGCTCCGAGTCCGCACGATCGCGGACCCGGGGAACTGCCCCCGCGAGGCCGCGGATGCTCGGCGGTTCAAAGATGGGGCCCTGAGGGATGGGCACCCGAGGGCAGGAAGGGATCCGAAAGTAGATTTACACTAGGCACCTCGCCCTTAGGGCCCCATCCCTCAGGACCCATCTTTGAGCCGCCGAGATAGGCAGCACGACATTCTCGGCACATCGGTATCCTCGACAAAAAAGCCTGGGACGAAGTACCGGCCCCGGGGAAGGGCTCCAGGGTCCAGGTCTCCAGGGGTCGCGCCGTTCTTCGACCACGACGTGCTCCGTGGCGCAGCTCGTGCCGCCTGCTCCTCTGCGGCGCTGGCTTCCGACACCGCGGGGATCGGGCGGGAATCGCTCCACCTGGAACGGTCGGCCGTTTCCTGAGCGCCGGCGGCGGGGTCGCCGCCGATCGACACGACGCGAGCCTGGCGCACATGTCCTTCGCCACCGACGTGCATCGTGGGAACTATGAAGAGGCCCTGGGACACACAAGTAAATAGACAAATAACAGGAGTCCCCATATTTGTCCATATTTTCTGTGTTTTGGTCTTCCCCCCACTGCCCATATTTCCCCATATTTTCTTGGGAATCGACGATCAGTTGTGTCTGTGGTTTTTCCCTCCCGAAACTAGCAGCGAAATCGTGGTGCCCGAACGCTGGGCAGCGCCGCCACCCGGCCTCGTGGCGCTCCGCTCCGCCTCGCTCGCGCGCTGGCGACGTGCGCTGGGCTCCCTTCGCTGGATCGCTCGCCCGCCACGTGCTCTGAAGTCGGGCCTGTCCTTCTACAGGGGGGAAATTCAAAAATAGTCAAAGAATAGTCTGGGGACTATTTTGAGTATTCTGGGGCATCTTTTGAATATGTTTTGAATATTGTTTATCTTTCGTCCACAATCCCCCTGTAGGGGGGACAGGCCGGACCTAAACGTGCTCCGCTCCCGAGGTTCGTGCCGTCCGTTGCTCTTCGGAGATCCGACGTAGCGAAAAAAATGCAGCATCGTGAAAATCCGCGCCTGGAGCCCCAGAGCCCATGTTCCTGCGTCATTTCTCGAGCCGGATCGATCTGCGAGGCAGGATGCGAGCAGAACGTCGTTTGTGTTTAAACCGTAGTTCTCCTTTAAAACGGTGCAAAAAACGACAACGGCGAAATCATCAAATCGACTCGCTTCGTTGCAAAACGTCGTGCGCGAAAACAAAAACAAAACGGTTGCATGCTCGCGCCCGAAAACAAAACGGGAAACGAACGGCCGCGCGACGAACCTTGGAAAACGAAACGCGGGAACCTCACAGTGTGAGGATCCCGTGACCCGAAAAAAGGCGAAAACACGCCGGGCTCGAAAACATTGATTCGCCAGGATCTCATCAGGAGGGGAAAAAACACACAGACACAATTAATCGTCGATTCCCCCGAAAATATGCAAAAATATGCGAAGTGGGGGGGAAGACAGAAACCCAGAAAACATGGGAAAAATATGGGGAATATTTCTATTTGTGTATTTATCTGTGTGCCCTGGGGCCCCTTCATACCTGCAGGGTGCTCCGCTTCCGAAGCTCGTGCCGTCCGTTGCTCTTCGGATGGGGCCCCACGGCCGCGGGCATGCGGCGCGCCCCGCACGGGGCGCCCGGAGCGGCGGGCGCGCGGGCCCCCGGCGGCGCGCACGGGGGCGGGGCGGCGGAGGGGAGGCGGCCTCCCGAGGGCGGCACCTCTGCCCTGTGGCGAGAGGCGCGCAGGCGGTGGCAGGGGGGGGGAGAAGGGCTTCTTGAAAGGAGGCTGCTGCTCAGAAGGCGCAGGCCTTGCCTGTGGGTGCAAGGCCCGCGCCTTCTGAGCAGCAGCTTCCTTCTGGCGAGCCTTCCCCCCTCCCCCTACCCCTCTCTGCGCGCCGCCAACCACTGCTGGAGGGGCAGCTTGCGTCGGCGCTGGTGTGTCCGCGGTCGGAAGCCGTCCTGATCGGGCTTGGCCCCCGCCTAATCCGGCTCAGTCTGGCTCAGTCCTGGGCCTGAGCCAGCTTACTCTGGCCGGGGGCGCGCAAACATGGATTAGCAATCCGTGGTCGCCAAATCCATGGATCGGGGGGAGATGCCCTCGCCAAAATGCGGCCGGTGCCGCCTCCTTCGGCGGCGGGAACCCGCGACTTCCCACGGAAACGGGACCCGTCGCTGATCCACGCCCCCTGAATCCACTTGCCGTCGCTCGGACGTCCATGTCCCGTGCATTTTCCGATTTCGTGGGTGCTTTTTTGGATCGATGGTCCAGGATGGTCCTCGATGGTTCTCGCCGAGAGAAAATCCACACGTCCGAGCGATGCCAAGTCCATGTTTGCGATCGCCTGATCCGGCCTCCCCCGTTGCCCCCTCTGCGCGTGGCAGACTGCGGCAGGAGGCCCCTGCCCTCGCGCCGCACGCGCGCGCCCCGCGCGCACCGCCGGCCCTGCCGCGGCCGCGCGGGCCTGCTGCCGCGCGCGGCGCCGTTCAGCGCCCGGCCATGCCGCGGCTCCGGGCCCCCCAGCGCCGCGCGCGCGGAGAGCCCTGGAGGCTGTCGCGCGGCCGCTGAAGGCAGGGGGGGGGCGGGGCGGAGGTCCCTCCCCCGCCCTCCTCCCTCCCTCCTCCCTCCTCCCTCCCCCTCCCTCCCCTCCTCCCTCCCTCCCTCCTTCCCTCTTTCTTCCTCCCTCCCTCTCCTCCCTCCCTCCTCCCTCTCCCTCCCTCCTCCCTCCCTCGTTGCGTTCGGCGGCTCCGGCGCAACCAGGAGTGCATCGAGGTCGCCATGCCGAAAAAACGCAGCGCCAGGCTCAAGGCCATCCTCCCTCTGCTACTACTCCCCCTCCACCTCCACCTCCTCCTCATCCTCCTCCTCCTTCTCGCCCCCCCCTGCTTCCTCCACCTCCTGCACACCTCCAGCACTACCCCCAGACGTGCCGGCAGTGAGGGCTGGGCGTTTCGCCTGCGACATCCCCACCACGTCCGATCCAGGAGCTTGGTATTCGCAACAGTTGCAAGGATGGAGTCAGGTGGTTTTCAAAGAGAAGCTTTCGCATCAGCGCCGCGCACACTAAAAGCGTGGAACCTGTACAAGGATGGGACACAAATGGTTTTCAGTTTTCAAAAAATAGTGATCTCGCCTGAACGCCGC